CTATCTCGTCTCCTTTCTAGGACTTATCAACTTCACTTTTACCACAAGGACTGTATTAAAAAACTGACGTCCGTGCGCAAACACCGCTAGCCGTCTGTCGACATCATTCGTCCAGAGGCACTGGAAGCAGCAGCAAACCAACTGGCAGGAAGTTTGGCTACGTTGTTTTTACGCTTCGTGGACCAGAACGAAGTTCCCGCCATGTGGAAGCTCGGAATAATAACCTCGATTCATAAAGTTAGAAGCAGAGGTGAGCCGTCGGACCACCGTCTATAATCTCCAAGCTAATGGAATCCATAGTTGCCGATGCACTGGTGCGTTATCTAGAAATCTGTAACATGATCAGCCCTAAGCAGCATGTGTGCGGTCGGCAGCAGTCGTGAACTACCTAATTACTAATAGCCCGCAGGGTTTGGACTGAGTCATCTGACGCTGAGGAAGGCGTTGACATGGTTCACCTGGTTTTTTCTAAAACTTTCGATCGTCTAAACCATCGGATATTGCACACAAAGCTCGGGAGTTAGGGGCCGGTGACTCTTTTAAATTGGATTGACGACTTTTTACTTTAATGGCAATTAGTGATCAGAGTTCGACACTCTCTACCGGACCCTAGCCAAGGCGATTTTGGTATGTCGCAAAGCTCAGTATTAGATCCAGTTTAGCTTTTGGTGTTTGTTACTGACCTTGCACAGAGTAAGGATTCAAAATTCCTAATTTTTGCCATCGATCTCAATATTCGATTCAGAATCCAGGTGAACACCAACTTGAATCCGCCTCAGAATCACCAAGAGAAGACATATCCATGGTCAACTCAAAATGCACTACCATTCAAACTGACTAAATGCAAGGTGATTTCCATACGACATTAGAGCACCTAGTCATGCAGGTTTGTAACGAAGGTACTACAACAAACAACTGTCGCATGTGACGTGAGTGTCTGAGTTAAAGTTGACTTGGATTGCTCTGTGCAATCCAGAAAAGCCTCTAAGACTGGAAACTAGCATATCCGGCCGTTGCGACTGGCGTTTGCACAAATAAACAGCTCCATGTTACGACAAATGCTCGATTTGTAGGTTTGCCCCTAAATGAAATACACAATTCAAGCCTGGCATAAATGGTTGAAACAAGACTTAATTCCCTGGGAAACCACAAACTCGGACATTTAAAACTGTAATCAGAATGCGCCATCTTTTCTATCAAGATAGGCTGAAACGATTGGGGGTATTCAGTGTAAGCTACCGCAGACTAGGAGACGAACTGCTTATAGCATGCTTGATTCTGCGAGAGCCATAACATGTGTGCCGCCCTGTACTCTGACTCAACATCAATACAAACCTGAGGGGACAAACAGTGAAACTCGCTGAACAATATAGCCGTCTGAAGTGTCGTATATATTTATTTTTCTATTACGGCCGCACTCGTCGAATGCTCTCCCAGAATTGGTCGTCACTGCACCGACACTGACAGCATTTAAAACGGTTGAATGGCGCACTCATGCACTAACACGTTGTCACTTAGCGCTACATCTTCATCCTAAACCTAAAGTTTACCATAGATTTATTTGACGTTAACTTTGCTTATTGTGAATCTAAGCAGACTGCAAGACTACAGCAGAGCGAAAAACAGTCCTTATTTTCAAAATTTTAATACTAACAATTTTATTACTATTACTACTACATTTTTATTAGCATTATTATTATTTTGAGATTTCTAGCAACTATCCAACATGACCTGTAAGCCAATGCCTCTTAACTGGTATACATTCATATTTCACGGTTAATCCTACATATTGTTATCATCAAATATAATTACAATTACTACTCTTCTGTAATTACAATTCGGGCAGTCGAACTTTTAGACAATTTTCACAGGCTAATCTTTCCTCGGAATTATTTTTCCCTTGCACACTTTTACACACAATTTGTTTTCCATTATTCCGTCTTTGAAAGCATCGTTTGCTGCAGCAAAAGTCGTACCTAAGTTTTACCTGAAGTCTTCTGCCTTAAACTTCAGAACTTGGCTTTTAATTGTTTGGTTCCACTCACGAACCGATTTCATCCAGTCTTTTAATATAGTTTTATCTACTTAGTCCTTTATAAATCGCTGCCTTTTTGAAAGCTTGTATTGTCATTCGAAAAATTATGTGGAGTTCCTTTTTTCTGGCAATAAGCTTGGATAGGTTTCAATGAAAAATGTATAAATCACACTGCAGCTTGGTCTGCAAGGTTTTACTTTTTTCCGAAACGTCCATTCTATCTGTCAAGAATAAAACCTATCTGGTATTGGCCAACATTGTGCGTGACCAATGGAGTAATGACATATGTGGAGCGGAAAGATTAGCCGAATTCGCACCGCTCCCGAATTTTGAATAGCGCCGTGTGTTTTTGTCTATAGCCGTCGGCACCTTATGCTTGCTCGTATATTGAATGACGTAGCTAACCTTTCTTTATCTGTCAATAACGTTGCGATATCTTTGTTGTTCTTGACCCGATCGGACTGGCTAGCTTTGTGGTACTCAGAATAAAAATAGTCGAGGCTAGACAGTTAACCCGATAAAGCAACGATAGCACAACTTAAAAGCTGGACAATTAATAGATGGGACAACCACGGTCATAAGCAAGTATGTGGTGAAATTTTGCAAATATATGAGTACAGAATATGTCCGTTGTAATATGTGGCAATAAAGCGGACCGGGCTATAAATCTGGTAGGCAATAAAGCAAGTTTGACCGTATGTGTTCAATGTGAACATCATTTCGTTTCCCAAATTCTTACAAGCGCACCTTAAAATTTATCGCAACTTTGCTGAAATCGTCTTCAGGAATTAGACGGGTCAACGGCATGATGAGAGCTCTCAGTTTTACTGCACTTTTCGGCTTCCATGGGAAGACATAATTTTTCAAGCAACCACACAAATAATCACGTAGATCTTTGTCAGGGCTATGCATGGACCACTGTCTCCCAGCTTGTTGACTCTCAGGAAATGGAGGTGACATTACCTGACCATCAAGCATGTGATACAGGTAATCAATAGCAACATTTGCAGTTTGGGCGCGCTCCGTTTTGCTTAAACCACTGAGTTTGTAATGAGTGATCTGTTTCTAAGAGTTGCCTAATAAACGTGTTCTCTAACATGTCCTTGTATCCATGCTTGTTTAACGTCTCATCAAAGAAAAATTGTCTGATGGTTGCATGGGATGAACTTGGTGCCCATTCACTGACCTTATCTCCATAATTTTTCCTTTATTGTAGAAGTTCATGATGTTCGCTTACTCAGAAGCAAACATTTTACTTATTCGTTACTTCAGTTACATGAACATACGCAGCGTCAGTAAAAGCAGATTGTACAGAACGTGATCCTCTTGCACTGACCGTGAAGCGACATTGTGATATCTACCGGATTTTATCCAAAGCAATGTGTATGAAAAACAATTTTCCAAATTAAATCTATAATATTAAAGGTGTAATGAACAAAACGCATCGTATTACATTTTATGTTTTACCCTATATATATAGACCTTTGTTATGATAACTTTGTTAATCTATATTTCTGGTGAGTAGCAGGATTTTAGATGCAAACTTTTAAGGAATTCATCCCACTAGTTAACAAGCTATATACCACAGCCTATTCCGGAAGTGCACCAGACGCGTTTCGCCCAATTTGGGCTCGTCAATGGTGTACATTCGCTCGGTCCCCTACTGGGGATCAAATCCATGACCGCTAGGGGCATATGCCAACTAGCCAGCAGCTTAAGCGAATCGAAAGCTTTAGGTAGTTGTACTGTTGAAAGATTTTAATAATGCGCAACACCTTTGGAATTTTGCCTGTTAGCACGAGTTCGAAAAATGGATACAATTTCTGGACGTAGATAATGACCGAAACACTGATGGATCGTGCAGCAGAAACGTACATAAAAACCATGTTTGGTCTGCTTAGTTCACCAAAGTTAGCTGTCTGGTTACCTTACGTAATTAACGGCATCGACTGTACAGTATTACTTTTCAGGTGAGCAGTATTTGCACACCGGACAGAGTTGTCAAGACGACAAAACCACCACGCATGCCGTATGAGGAAATGCGTACCAGGATAAATTCCTCCTCAAAAGTGAAATAGCGGACAATGGAGTATGGTCGCACCAAAGATGGAAACTCTTGTGTTTTTCTCATTCATAGGCGTCATTTTTGCTTATACCGTGAGCAAACGCCTAGAGGGTGCCCTTGGTCTGTTCTATTTCGCGGCTGCCTGGGCATAGTAGACCATGAAAATTCTTCCCCTGCGCGATTTTGGTAATTTAGACCCTCTGCAATGGCCAGATAAATGCTATCTATCAATACTCGTGCCCTTGAGGCACGATACGTGGGACATACTTTGAAACGTCTAACTCAGAGGATTCGCATGCACATAACCAAGTAGATTAACAGAGATAAAAGATCTATTAAGTCGCACCTGATCGAGAACAGTTAAGTGAACTCTGAAATGGATTGCGAGATAGTCTACTCAATTCTTGAGAAATGCCAGCGCGAAAACGTTAAAGATCGCCTATTTATTGTTGGTACACTATGTATCCGCCAACTCAAGTCCGAGTTATGCGTACAGAAGCAATTCGTACTTTGGTTGATTTTACCGGCACCCACCTTTTTATATACATGCTCACACGGTTTATCTACTTTACCTTTCCATTGCACTAACTCTAACACCTCTGACATCGTGGTTCATCTATTGGTAACCTAAGTTTAACAACTTAATTCATATTCAGCTCCAAACGGCACTTTACCATGTAATTAGAACAACATTAGTGAATGAGTCTGATGAGATCAATGGAGAAGCTCAACACTATAATTCATTTTACTAAGGAATTGTGGAATTGCTAATCAGTAGCATTTCCTGCGTTTCATGCAGTTCCTAAACGAATAGCTGAATTTAAAGGCTCGGTACAATTAGTCTGATTTGGATTTTAATACGGATGTCAATGGTTTACAAGGCCTAGTTGATAGACTCACCATAGAAAGAAGTATCAGGTCTGACCTGAACAGGATATAAGCATTTACCCTGTAATGTTCTTATCTTCGTAGCAAAGGTGAGGTATTTACTTCCTTCAGTAATGAAGGCATAGTGCGGCACTCTGTAGTACAGTTCCAGTTTTACAACGGTTTTATTTGAAAATTGACGACTCCTTTCCTCACCAACTTTTCTGCACCGAAAGTCACTCGTAAGGCTATTCGCGAGCTGGTTCATGTAAAGAAAATTTATGGGTAATGGTGAATAACGTGTCAGGAAATAAAAATGAACTTCTAAACCAAACTAAATTATCGTTCAGATAAGCGACTTAAATCGCAAAACCCGCGAAATCTGCTACCTTAGTTTTGATGAGAACATATTATGGTTTATCTTTTGAACCATTTCTAACCGCCATAGATGAAAAGGTAAAAAGGCGCTTAAATGTTGAAAAGCATTGTGCGATTATTCTGGCTAGCGAATCGTTAGTAGATGATCCCACAACTAAACGAACTCAGGGTTTAGCGAATTATTAACATTAGACGCTTTCTGCACTATTTGAAATGTGATCCTACATACAATTTACTGTGTTTGCACTCTAAGTATTAATTACGCTGTGGCGTACGACATATGTTTTGCTGTTAAATTATGCACAGTCCAACCTCGATGTCTTTGGAAACTTTACACAACACGCCGACTGCAAATCCAATGTGCAAATTTGTGCAATATACCATAACTGTGTTGCGAGTTATGCAGCAATACCAAGGCCACATTTCCCTTAACGCAAATTTGCCTAAAACAACATCCATTTGAATAACATTATTCTAAAGCCTCAGTGTAATGGACTACAAAAATTTATCACTTTATTTATTACCGACATTTCAGCCTTTTTACTCTAAAACATCACATTTGCTTTATTGAATGTACATAATTACCACTTACGTATTCCCTATGCGTCTCCCCCTTCGCTGGACCCTGATGTCAAAGACTTCCCCAATATACTCGTGATTTATCTCAAGGCACGTTGTGTTTGGTGGTTTTGCATTCGATTAATTAATCTTCTGGCTGATATACTAACTTCAGTGTCATAAAAACCTGATGTCGAGAACGGCTAAGCTCAAGCTTCAAACTCGTTTTATCACCAATCGTGATTGGCCTGAACAAAAATTGCTTGATTTAACGAGACCGTTGCATTTCGAGTGACTCGTTTCGTCGGTTAATAAGGAAGTGCTTGCTAGGTAAACGAGAAATTTACATGGATAATAGACGAGTGACAGCGACTGTGTGCTGTTAGTAAGCACAAGGACAGCACATCAGTAAAGCAGAAATTGCCAACTGCTTTGGTACTCAGAACAGTTGCCATCATTGGAGGGTCAGGTTTGGATTACTCGTTGTGTGATTGGATTGCGACACGCAACCTCAATGTAATGGACTGTGATTCACATTGAAATGACCCTCCAATTAGTCATCTACCGTCGTGACAAAAAGCATTGCCCATCGTGACCCGGTAGCCAAAGGGGTAGTAGTGTTGGCTGCTATTCCAATGGTCGTGGGTTCAAATCCTGCTGTCTCCACCGGATGAGATGAAAATTACATCGAAACGCGTCATGGCTGTGCAGTGTTTTCGGGTGGGCAATACCCAAGTTGCCATCATTGTTTTAATATTTTTGTTGTTTTCATTGTTTCCAATTTCTAATCAAGATCAACACTACAAATGTTTAAGCGAATTCGGGTGAAAATGAATATGTACACAGTAGGGTAAACATATATATGCCGGATCCGGTCATAAGAAGGATACACAACAGGCACAAGGTTAACATGAGTTGATGTCTAAAGCATCCAGCGCCCCACATATTTTGAGCCAATTTAAAAAATGCGATATAGCACTGTAGAATTAAAGAAAACTATCATAATATAGAACAATCAGGTGTTTTTGGAATTTTGGAATGCCACATGATACTAACTGTGCTCTTAAACTCATCGCAAGTTCCGTTGGAATTGGTATTGTTGATTGTGTAATATGCATCGATATCTGTACAATTAAAAAGAAAAAAAGGTTGCAATTCAAATTTTGGTGTTCGTAATATCTAGGGAATTTGAAAGGCAAGCTTATGGCTGTCAAACCCGACTAAAATCCATATATGTTAATAAGAATTAATATATAAGTATGAACTATGAGCGATATCTGGCAGCACAAAAGTGATTACAAGTTAGAAAAGAAGATCAGAATACAAAAAGTGCGGAATAACCTCGTCATTTCGCATATGCTCGTCGATCAAACGCATGCAACTAACAAGTTATGTAAAATAATGTCACTAAATAAAATAATGGTTATCTGCCTTCCCACTGATAAATTGCAAGCCTCCAAGTTAGTATTATTGATATCGTCAGTCGTTTTTGTACCCGGAGTAATGGCAATGGCGACCGATAGCAATAGTCTCGAACAGCTTGAGTCTATGAGAACTTTAACTGCGAATGAGGCCTGTAAAAGAGTTAGCTGGGTTTACCTTGTAAACAGTACTCATCAATGTCTTTTAATTGTAGGTGCAAATTTAATTCTCAGTTCCCTGGGCTCATCCCCGCATCTTCTACTTGTTTGTGGATCCACTTTAGGATATGCCCATGATTCGAACACCTAGATTTCAATCAGTACGCCCAATATAGCTGTTTCACGGCTACAGGTGAATTTGAATAATCAATAGGACATGCATTGTTCTAACACCGGTGTCTTCACTGATCACTTAAGCAGTGGTATGTTGGTCGCTATCATTAGTTGCTCTGCTGCACTGAATTTGTGTTTCATTGAAGTGCTTAATCGTTTAGCTGACTCGTATGTTGTGGTTACCACTAGAAAGCAAAGAAATGAAAACCTGTTTCCATTGAACCCTAAACTCTCGATATTTTTCGCTGCGTCAAAATAACACTGCATGATGTGCCATGGATAAATAGTTGATTTGAGCACGTCAGAAAGGTATTCGTTTTATACATTTTGTCTGTGTCAGGGGCAAATGATATTTCTCTGGGAATATGTGCTCCAAATAAACTACGCTTCGGATGGTTTGGCAGGAAACACTTAACATGTAAGCACTGAGTATTCCATGTCGCAATCCAGCAGAATGTTCTTTTGACTGATCCCCCTTGGCTTCGTGTAAGCCAAACGTCTAACCATGCGACACAACTGTATTGCTCAGTTCTATTTGAAAGTAAGAGTATGTACACGGTTGAGCGCTTTGGTTGTAAGCGCAATGTCTTTAGCTGAATCAAAGTAGGATGGGCATCCCTTGTTGGTTTCTTGAACGTGGCCATCGATTTTGAACCAAGTCACCCTGTCATCTCACAATCATCTGATATCTTATTTGGAAGCATAAAAGTAATTTCATGTTTGAATTAACAAATGTTTTCGTGAGATTCATATTGCAGTAATTTGCAACAGGATTTTGCCTTTGTATCCACACCGTAGCATTATGGTCGCAATACTGCCTGTTATCCATGTGATGGCAGGTTCAAAACTACATAAGGTACGGGACGACCCTCGTAGCTTCCTTAGCCCACGCGCGACTGCTGTTAGTTGCGTGCCAGCGAAGAGTCGTTACTGCGTATCGGCTAACTGCTGATACCTTGTTTTTAGCAGTAAGTTAAAATAAGCTTGTGTACTTTAAACCCCAAAACAATATTATTTTTCCTGCGTTGTTGTCGGAAGTTATTTATTGATTTGTAGGGTAGTTTTAATGAGTACGGTTACTAAGCTGGCGATATACGTTGTGACCAAACAAGCCTTTTAATGTTTTCTACATCTTGTCAAACCGCTACAGAAAAAGAGCTACAAACGTCTAATAAGGACGGCCGAGGCCATAGAGATCAGGCCAATGCAAACTGAACTGTGCAAGCAAAGGGCGTAATTGCAAGTACTTCGGCTGCCATAGCCGTGGTCTTAGTGTGGGCAACGTTAACTTCATGAGCAAACAGTGACGCAATTGTTCTTGTCCTCCCATCGGACGTAGAAAAACTGTTTATTTTATGTGCATTTGTGTGTGTCAGTTTAGGACCATCACCGTACGTTGGAGAGTCTGATCGGTGAACAATGCAATCTATGTGAACTAGACCAAAGCAAAGCTTTCATGACATATTGCAGTGACTTGCTCTGTTTTATTTATGTATGCGCGTGATGAAAATATAAAGTATTTTTCATTTTAAAAATGATAATTGAGTCTGTACCGTGACAGAAAGTGTTGTGGCCACAATACAACTGGTAAGAAGTTGTTGAGGTTTGTCCAGGAATCATTCGTGTTTAATTATTTCTTTTCTTTTCACTACGTTTTCCGGATTGTCATAGTGGTTTTATCCTGCGAGAGTTTTCGCCATCCACACACCTTAGTTTCAGAGAATATTGGGTAAACGTGTTGACGGGATCAAGTTAACATCGAGGTGTTACTCAAACACCACTTCCATCCAGCTCCAAATCTGCCGTGTTGTGATGATACTATCCGACCTCTTACAAATTAGATGTATTATGTTTTGGACTCCAGTCAGTCTATTACGAATTGCATAGGAGTGGGATGCACGATCACTCGGAGTACGCGAAAGAGCGCAAACGAGCATAGTTGTAACTTGCTATTCTTCTGAGAAGGTTTTGGACGATATAAGAATAAATATATGGATCGTAGACATTAGTTTGATTTAGTTGTTTACAGCTGATTATCGAATATGAGATCCTATGCACGTATTGCATGTATGGCGACTGGAGTTAACAAAATTCATATAAGAGTTCACTTACAATATCCGCGCAATTCGGAAACTAAGAAAAGTTAAAAAGATCTGATGAGGAAATTAGGGTTAAATAATCGGCACGTATTCCATGCATGTATTTGTATATTTAGGTACTCTGTAGCGAATAATCCAGTCAGCAAATCCAGTCAGTTTGAAATAATTTATGATCACTAGTATTGTTATTAATATTTTTACAAGGTGTATAGCAAAAGACCATTAAGAAATGATCCGGGATTGACGCAGCATTAGAGTTTGCTGCTTTTTGATAAATAAGTTTTCATATAATAGTTATGCATATTTTCAGCTAGGCCACTCAAAACAAAATAATAAGAATATATTTTTGCTACATATTGTGGAACATTACACGAAGAAAAACAAAACCAACATGTGCCGCAACTTTGGACATTTTTTATCCATTAGAGCATTCATAGTGAAATATTTACGATCTCTAGTGTTCTTATGAACTATCAATTCCGCAAAGCTATAGTGGGCTACACTGTTTTGAAAAGACATTACGTTAATGTGTACATTTCATGGCTGTGTATAATGTATTTTATGTGATATGGACAATTGATCAGGTACAGTTAAACCAACTTTGTTACATGCAGGCAGTAAAGATCAGTAATACGCGCGTTTCTGAAAAATTCCGAAATCAAATCTAATGAGCAGCGATCAGTAAGATAATAAGCTACTTAGAACGAGGTACATTTCTACGAAATTGTACTTTTCATGGTTAGGAATATTAATCGATAAAAGAATGTCAAGTTATTGCCTGAACTCTCCTAGCATAATTAGCATGTTTTTCATACCAAAGTTGTTTATGCATAGAAATACAATACATTATTTCACACTTGATTTTGTAGTAAAGTAAGAGATGCAAAAATTGTCCCATATTACGGTTCGGCCAAACGTACAAGCAGAATGTGATGTAGTTATGCTAAAAGGTGTTGTACTATACCATTTCAGATATTTTCTTGATATATAAAACAGAGTGGGTGACGTTTCTCCTCTAACCCAAAACGTTGAGATTGTATGTAAGCAGACCCAACCTTATACTACCAACCACAATTGTACCTCCTTTACCCCTCTGGAGATCGCTGAATGGTATAACTACCTATATTTATATGGGAAGTGTAACTCCTGAACGCTGATATCCCACGCTTGTCGTCTACAGTTATGGGGATTGTCTTGGACCGCCGTGGGTTGATGCACTCGTGTTATGCTAAAATCGATATGAAGAAGATAGATTATTTGCAATAAATAAACCTTGAACATGAGTGATTTTTGGCGAGGTCGACTGCTGGTGGATAATGCTAGCATTGGTAGCAATTGACTGTCAGGAAAACCAATCGCATAATTTAACAAACCGAGATTTTGAAGGTCAATCTACGGTATGACATATAGCAACTGGCAGGACATTTAGCACAGTTTTTCCAGCACTGCTTAGACCAGAACCAAGTTCCCCGCCATGTAGAAGCTTGGAATAATAAGCCCGATTCACAAAGGTGGAAGCAGATCTGATCCCTCCAACTACCGCCCAATAACCCGTCTTCCTATACTATCCAAGGTCATGGAATCTATAGTTGCCGTTGCACTGGTGTGCTATCTGGAAAACTGCAACCTCATCACTCCTGAACAGCATGGTTTCCGTCGACAGCGGTCATGTACAACTAATTTACTAATTGCACGCAGTAGTTGGACCGAGGCAGTGTATCAGTGTATCAATGGTCGATCCAAAACTTATTGCATTTCAACGTCAGTAAATGCAAGGTGCTTTCCATCCGACATCAGGGCAGCTACTCTTACCGACTCGGAACGGATGTACTGCAACAATCAACTCTCGAACGTGACTTGGGTGTCCTGGTTCAAGATGACTTGGGTTGCTCCAGGCAATCCGAAAAGGCCTCGAAGACCGGGAATCAACACGTCTGGCTTTTGAGGCGGGCATTTGGACAAATAAACAGCTCCATATTTCGAAAAATGCTCAGTGCGTATGTTCGCCCCCATCTCGAATACGCAGTTCAAGCCTGGCATCCATGGCTGAAACACGACCTTAATTCACTGGAGCAGCCTCAACGCCGGGCATCTAAGAACGTAACTGGAATGCGCAATCTGTCCTACCAGGAGAGGCTGCGACGACTAGGATTGTTCAGTGGAAGCTGTCGCAGGCTACGAGGCGACCTGATTATGACATACTTGATTCTGCGAGACATACATCATGTGTGCCGCCCTTTACTGCAACTCAGCAGCAATACAAACCTGAGGGGCCACTCATTAAAACTCGCAGAACAATACAGTCGTCTAGAGTGCCGCAGAAATTTCTATCCCATCCGTGTCTGTCACCCGTGGAATGCTCTCCCAGAATCGGTCGTCTCTGCACCGACACTAACAATATTTAAAAGACGGTTGGACGATGCACTCATCCACTTACACTTTGTTACTTAACACTATGTCTCCATCCTACACCTGGAGTTTACCCTGGAATTATTTGTTGTTAACTGTGGGTGTTGTGAATCTAAGTGGATCGTAGGACTGCAGCGAAGCAAAGGATAAGTCCTTATTTTCGTATTAAAAGTGTTAACTATTTTACTATCCTTTTCATCATAATTATTATGTTGATATCCCCACCAACTATCCAACGGGACTTGTAAAGCAACGCTTCTTAACCCGTATAAATTCATTGTTCATTGTTCATCCGCGGAAACGCTACACAGTAGTGTTTATGGGCTATCGTCAGCTAATTTTCCAGCAATTTACCGCTTTTGTTTGAATAGAAACCATTAAATAAGCAAAATGTTGACAATCTTTAAAAATTTGTTCAAAGTTATCCGCATGACCGCCCAATGGATTTCCGATAATTGTCCGATGAACGCCCACTATGATGCCCGGCAAGACGAAGTGTTATAAGTGTTATTGGTCAGTCAAACTAGTGCCTTTTCAGACGGCCCATACTGGTTAGATTAACTTATTGTTGTGTTCCATTAGCACGGCCATCGTGATCAGATAGTTCTAGAATAATCTATGAAAAGGCATTCGGATCAACAGCCAATGCTAGGACAGGAGTCGCAAGCGTTAGTACATAAAAGGTAACAAAATTTGAGCTCACCATTGCGTCTAAATCTGCAGCTTTGCGAGCAACAAGCTTGTGTTTTCTTTCGTATCGACATGAGCTAATGTTATCAGTTTCACATGATTATTTTCCATTACTTACTCAGACAAACGTTTATATATTCCTCACGAGCAACTGACTATTTCGCTTGCATATCTACACGAGTTGCCCCTTGTATGCATATGCAACGAGCTCTGCTCAGAAGTTACCAATCAGCAACGCATACTGTCTAATAACTCAGTCTTTAGAGAAAAAACGAATACTTCGACTGAGCAACTTCAGCAAAAATAACAACATAACTGGGTCGGTAGAAGTGTAGATGTAAACAAGCAGTTTGCTTTCACAACTAAGGAGGCTTCTTCATACACGAGACTTCCCTTAGTTTATTAAACAAACTCCAGAGCAGCCAAATATTAATCATTCAGCGCAGAGGTGGGGACACGTAGGCGCCCCAACCCTTGCTGCGTTCGCTTGTGTTAATCCAGCCGGTTGTTCCGTCATGTAAGTCCGTATTCTTTCCCTGCTGACATAATCCCGTTACATTCTCCCATTTCGTGATCAGCGGCCTCGGTATCGCTGAAAACCACATAGGCTTTTCCGCGTCGTGTCGTCGTGGTCACCGTTAGCCCTTATGTGCCTCTCATCGTGTTCACCTTCTCGTTCCTCGTGACGCCTTAGATGTACCCTGTTCTTCTGACCATAGTTCCTCCCATATTGACTTCATCAAAACATTCCCTGAAATTCGCAGTCATTACAACTTTCTTCTATGGCGCTTTTCTCATCCTTAGCCGAGTGATGCATGAGTCGCCCAACCAGATGTACTCTCTTTTCTGGGTACATGTGTGTTTATGCAAGCCTACGTGTTCTGTGCTGCCTGTGTAGACGGAGCAATTTATCGTTTTAGACAAAGCAACTTTACTACCATCTGATTCTACCAAGCATTACAGCGTTTCACCAGCCTATCCTGTTCCATCTTGTACATTTATATTTGTTAACGCCTGATGAGAGTTGTCGAAGCGAGTGCACTTCGCATTCTTGTGTTTAAGCGAAAACATAGGCTAAATTTTCTTGTTAAAAATGTGTAAAAAATCCAAGACGTTCAGTGAAAAAATGTTTGAAGTGTAACGCCAGGCTCGCGGGTACGAAAACCGCGTTATATTTATTCAGGGATTTATACAGCGCAATCAATGTCCGAAAACTTTTTTGAAAACTAATAAACGGTGTCGTATGCCTTTAACGATGAAGTCGCGCAAGCGCCATGCTCAGAACATCCTGGAAACTGCTCAGTCATGCATCGCTAAGCTTGAACGACTCTGTTCACTTTACGGTTCAGTCGTAGAAGTGCTCGCTTCGTCGCAGCGCAATTCTTTTAAACAATATGTACAAAAAATGTGTGCAAAAGTAGGAGAACAGTAGCACGCTAGCCTGCATAAATGCTTAGAACCAACTCTACCGGAACGTCATTTTCCTCTGTATCCAGAAATATAGGTGCATATCGAGCCAGCCTTCATCTAAATCACTTGGTAGTAGAGTCATTAGCACCTGGAACAAGACTTTGCTTTTCTCAGCCAAGTTGTTGACAGGTCCATCTAGAAACCGAGTTTGAATATCTGATGAAACAACTAAGCGAGCTGATGCCTACGCCTTCGTTTGTCAAGGCACGTTCTGAAATATTTTGGTTCATCTTGAGCAACAATATCAGAGCTACGAATCTAAATCCACGATACTCTCGACTAAAAATCCCGTGATGCCATCAGGGAATTGAGATTCAGTCCGAAGGTGATAGTTCCTAGACCGGCTGCTACTGGTACTGATGGATAGATTTGAATAAGTCTTTGAGATTCACTCAGTTTTGCAAGACAGGAGGAACTTCGTCGCGTGAAACGACACAAAACGATAAGACGGCACAGGATGAGCACAAGATCACACGAATATTGAAAAAAGCTGAAAAGCATCCTACTGACAAATGACACTCTACTGGAACAGCTTACTCCAGTCGAATCAATTCCTCCCTGATTTCAAGTTCTACCTGTTGCACAAACCAGATTTTCTCTGCATCCCATAACTGACATGTCAACCTCCCTTTTTCACTCAGTTGCGAAACGGATTTTATCTTTCCTTGAACCAGTAATCAAACAGTAATGCACTAACTCTGTAAAAGACACATAAGAATTTGTGTAGCGCTTTGAACGCATTTGTTTAACCTGTAAATTAATGCTGGGTTTCGACATTGAGTCACTTTCATAAAGCGCTCCATTGATAGAGGCGGTTAATTTTGTTTGTGATCACTTAAACAAAAAGCATAAATGTAGGCATTTCGGTGCATAAACTTACGGAGTACGCTTTTAATGCATCTTCTGCAGATAACTTTTATTTAACGGGATCTACTACAGTCAGATAGACGAAGTCGGGATGGGGTCTCCCATGGGAAGGCCATTGCTAACAACTTTCTCGCTATACCTGAACATAGACCAATGAAAACCCATCATATCCGCAGTTGATTCCTACGGTCGAAATGTGGATGACATGTTTATTAGCTGTGGTTTATGCACTGATGTCTCAAACATTTTGAACCAGGTAAACTGTGTGAGTTCCTCGTTGAATTTCATCAGTGAAAGCAAAAACGATGGCAAACTGACCTTCATGGACGTCCTACTAAGGAGAACGGAAGATGTTACGCTAGATTTGCGTTGCGGATAGCAACATGGGTCGGCCAATGCCAACACTTTTTCAATTTTGTACAATGAAGTACAAACAGAAGCTTGTTCTTTGCTTGTTTCCGCGCTACAAACATTTGCAGCGCAGAGATATAGGAATCCGAAAGGAGATGTATACTCCAAATGCTATAGGAAAAGCTTTAATAAGCACCATAACTCCGAAAGCACTCAGTGGTTCACCATCGTCACAAAGTGGTTGCAATTGTTCCAAAGTATCACGTGTTTCTCCTATGTGAATTTAAAGGAGAGATTACATTTTATTTGCTGAACGAAATAAGTTACACTTCAATAACTCAAACCGATCCAGCTACCTACATACACCTCATTACCGAAACAGGGCCGTTTGTTGCGCAATGTCTCAAAAAGGGACCCATAGTGCCATCCGAATCTTATATTCTCTACCAGTTTATTTACACATATGGTATGAGATGCATCGGACATAAAATTAAACTTATATCTGAATTGTTAGCGGAGCAGTGTCTCAAGGAATTGCGGAAAAGTACCCCGCCAAATGTGTCAGAGCTCTGTGCTAGAATACCTGGTCGAAAATGGACAATAGATTAGGATTTTCGATGTTTTCAGATTATTTTCCGTCGCGCTAAAGTGTTTAAAAAACGAAGGTTACGGACGGCCGAAGCCATTACAACTCGATTTACGGAAACAGAGTACTTGTCCAAACTTTGCTTCGGTCCTGGGGTTAACGTACTTCTACACAGCTGTTACTACATACACTGACAGCAGCCGTGTGTTATCTGTGTCGCCCAACCAGTCGAAGAAATCATAATGTCTCTCGCCCGTGTATATGTGCGTGTCTGTGCTTGCCTACAGTAAACTGCTTACAGTAAACCGTGTAATTTATTTATTAAGGCAGATCAATTTTTGCGTCGTTCTGATTCCATCATTTACTACCGCGTTTCACCATTTTATATTATACTACGTTGTCATAATATACTTGTAAACGCCTAATGACTTCTGCCGAAAATTGTGCTTTTCGCAATGTTTTCTTTTAATAATTCAATGGGTATAATTGCCCCTTCCCCTTTGAGTGAAAGCTGGGGTACCTCCGTGGTATTTCAGTCGTAATCCCCTTCTCTTGTCTGCAAAATAAGCGCAAAGTCGTTGCAGCAACAAGCATTATGTTTCTTGTATTTCTGGCGTAGAGATTTTGCAATGGACCTAGACAGATGTACGATGATGGAGTATTGTTAATCTCCAACTGCATCAGATAACGGTCCGTGTGGGTGCCGTTGCCTTCGACAACATGTTCTTGGCTTTTTTACTGCGGTCTCTGCTTATCCGTTCGAATGGTACTGAGGCAGGCTGGTTTGTCGATACCAAGATTCCAATTGTTTGCGAACTTATGAAACGTAGCCTTTTCAAACTACAGCTCATTATCGCAGACTAAGTTCTCCTGTAATTTTGTCAGGTAAATTAATGTGCATGCTTATTTATGACTACTTTCGTGAATGGATTGCTCGGGAACTGGTCGCTGTAGTACTCCACTGTGTTTTCTGTCGTCACAGTATAAGATGACTCTTATTTTTTCTGGTCGACCTGCAACCAGAAGCAGTTTCACAGGAACCCTGGCATGGCGTACCGCGCAGCACCGGAAGACTGGAAAACTTGACAATCCCTCTTGAATTTGACTCGTTATCCCTGCCCAGAAAATCAATTTCCATGTTCTGCGAATGCTGTAGTTAGCATCAAAGTGGACTCGGTAAGGGTGTTCCTGCAAAACTGCACGGAAGGACGGCGGAATGAAAGTATGATTTACTTAGAACAACATAAGGTTATACATCGTGAGTTTATCCCGACGCTGCTGAAATTAAGTTTTCAAGGACAAGCGCTTACAGGGTAATGTCAACTCGGCTGACATTACACCACATTTTACAATCCCACAACCTGATGTGATTTGCGAGTACACGTCCAGCACTAACGACACTGCTTAGCCGGAGAAGTTCCTTTTTTGATTAAGTTAAACGAACGGAACTCACATGAACATCTGTCAATCGGTGTCCAGTAATCGCATTCATTAAGCCCATCTCCAATTGACTGGTTTTGGAGCATGTAGATGTTGTGATCAAGAAGATGAACTGTTTTCGCTTAACGTTACCCAGAGGTAAATGCCATTTCCATAACAGCCCTAGAGATATGCTATCTAGAATAAAACTGTCAGCTATACAGATGTAAATATTGCAGGAACGCGCCAGAATCCGAGGCTAAGTAACCTAGTCACCGATCGATTCGTCCAAGCGTCTGCTTCAGGTGAGTAAGAGATATCGCTGTAAGTTCTGCTTATTCTGGAACTCATAGAAGTAATAAAAATTGCAGACCTTTTATTCCAGAGCTGCTATGTCTTTGTGCTTTCTTTACTACGTCGTTTCCGACACGCAACTTGCTTCACCCCTAATCGTATGTCAAAATATCGACAGGCGATAGGTCATTGATTATTCATCTAGACGCACCAGTACGCAGAATTAGATCAATTTGCTTTACCAAATTACCTGTTCAATTAGACAAGTGATTAGAATGCTGGTTACGCTCCGACCAGCAAATGCTCACTGATCAGCGAAGTTGCATGGTTTTATTCTAACCCTATTTCGCAAAACCTAATCAAAAATAGACAAAAGGTTTATTTGACAAAACAACCTCAGCGGAGATGGCAACATACTTAGCATGAAGAAGCCTGGAGGTAACTGATTAGGTCACCTCCTAAATTATTAACGTTTTTACATTTATTAAATCCTTCCTTTGATTCAGTCAATCAAACTTATTGCAGCGCAGCCAAATACAAACAAAGCAGCATAGATGCGAAGTTGCGTAGGGGTATACTCAGATGCTTCGTACGTTTGCGTTAATATAGCGACATGATTCATCTTAAAAACCCGACTCATTCCTCGGATTGTAGAATAATATCATAAATACTATCAAAATTGACAGCACGTCAACTGTATGAGAATTCAGCATTTTTGACTATTATTAGGCATGTTAAAATGGATGCAATGAAATCATTTCCGGACGCACAGGCACCTCAACAGATTTTTAAAAATGCATACTACAAATGGTAACTTTGTGCAGACTTATTACGTACGCTGAATATTGGCTTAAAGTTGCACGTTAGTACAGGCATTAAGTGAATTCGTTTGATGTCCAGTCAGTTTTTGAAACCATTATGTTCTGCCATATTTCTGTCTTGCCTATGGTTTTAATTTTACATTCAGAGAATTCATTATTATGGGCAACAAAACAAAAGTCTGAATTATGTTTGTTACAAAACAGCTAATATTACCTGCTGATGTGTAGTAACATATTTTAGCAAATGTGTCATACTTTTGATTGCCTAATTATCCTAGGCAGTAAGATGTCATAATATGTAATGCATTTTAGGTCGTTTTTTGTTCATATTGTGAGCGATAACGGGATCCAAATTTGCTGAATGAATGAATATTTTTTAAGCATGGCAAGAAATTTTAACCTGTCGCGAAACGGTAGCAAACTTACCTTTGAAACTATGCCATTTAATTTCCTCTACTTTTACTTTTTCCATAAATGGCAATTGTACAAGACGCTCCAGTTTGTTTAAAGCTTCCATCTCAAGGTCGGGGTAGCCCCATGGTGCGAAAATGCGTTCCTTTATTAAAATAGTGAATCGATTTTGTCTCCTATCTTGTGCGTTTTCCTCCAATGTGACATTAACGTGAAAGTCGGGAAGTACTTGTTTTACCTAAGAAAAATATATAATTAGCATTAGGTTGTTCAAAATATAATTTTGTTTATATCAACTGTAATTGCGTTCTTTATATTTCGGAAATTATTTTATGTTATAATTTTGCAATGCACAAACAGAACCGTTGTTACTAACTACGAATGAGATATATTAGTAAAAGTGCATTAATTATTACACGAAGCAACAACACGAAAACAAGATTAAATACCCTTTGTTCTAAACAATTACGCTTGATGGTTGTCTGAAATAGCCAAGCATATTTTTGAATGAGTCTGTATCTACGCATAGGTCACACAGGTTACATTCTGCTGTGGATGCATTATCTGAACATTACGTGTATATAGATAAACTATGAATTATTGCGCTTATTAAAATACCGATTACTTGTTTCTCCAGCATATATTCGTTCCCTTCCCACAAAGGTAGACGAACCACGAATCCTGCAAGAAAAATTTGAAATGTGCATATAATGATACTTATTCGAAATGCTTGCTCAAGTAACACTGGTAGCAGTTGCCTGCATCCTGGTATTTGCAAAAAAATTACTGACGTCAAGTAACCAAATGTAGTGTCAACTACCTTATTCAGGGGCTACTGTAGAAATCCGCAAAATGACCGTCTGTAACAACAGCAGGATTACGCAAATAAAATTTGCCCATACACACCAAACAAAATCGTTGCTCATTTTCACTTTAGGTCGCGCATTGCATTCAAGAACACAGGGTATTTTATTAAGCACGCAAAATCTAGTGTTCCTATTGGGTGATCATTGAAAAAATAACTGCGTTTACAAAGCAGCGGTTGGAAATAAACCATATAATTTCTTTTATTTGGAGCATGTTTGATTAGGGTGGAATTCATTTTGCTGCTGTGCAATAAGCTCAAAACACTCCACGTAAGCTGAGTGCATCTAAAACCATCCTATCCAAAACCTCGGAAACGATTAGCGGAAGTCGCTGGTCGATAAGTGGCTAGGTAGAAACGACTACTAACTTTGTAACTTGGAATAGTTATCTTGGTTTCCACACTACGGAACCGCAATTCTGTAAAAGCCGCGCGAAGTGTTTAGCCAAAATATTGGTCTACATGACAAGCGCCTTTGGGTGAATGCCATCAATTCAAGGGAAGGCTTTCAGGTGCATGGATGGCAGCAATTTCATCAGAAAATCTGCCGCAACTCTTAAATGAGATAGTGATGATTGAAGTACCATGGATTTTAATGGTGTAGGAAATTAGGGAATTCAATGAAACCTTGATGCATATTGCTGTTACAGGGATTTCGACGCGTTTTCAGTCCGATAAAAACTATCCGCTCTTTGAAGATGAGGAGAAGCCACTTTCTACATGATGCAATTTGTTTGCGTGGATTTGCTGGAGATTATGACTTGGAGCAAATCGGACTGCTAAAAACTCGATATGATATTTGTCTTGCGCACTTGTTAGGTAAAGTAGATACGGTGAATGGCATAGGCCATCTGTGTGTTTGGACTCAGATCGGTTGTGTGGGCAAACCACGCCGCGTGACGCATCACCATGCGTTTGCGTATCCTAGTCCATTTAACCGACGCTGTTTCTAGAATTGATAAGCTGGATATCCATGCCGCAGTAACAAAGATTTTTTAACTCACTGGCTAAAAGTTCCCAGGCAATATCGGACGCATCTTCCGTCAGGTAACTCCAGTCCGTCACTTCAACGACGTTAGCTGAGATATAGTAGCGGATTATGGTCCAAGTCGTTCGTGTTCTGTTTCTGGGGTACTCAGCGTAGCGTGTTACATGAAATGCAAGGTTGCATGATCACTGCGCTTTATATGAGTATCGGTAATTATTCTGTAGATGATGAATTCTTCGTTATTGAACGTCAGTGTCAATCTGGATGCCATGCTTTTCCCTACATCTGGTGGTCGAAGTGACGTGCCCATAAAGCATGAAATGTAAGACACGTTCCTGTAGGTCAGCTTTAAATTGCTCACTTGTGTGTTTTGAGTTTCTAGAGCAGGTAATTTAAAATCACCAACAACTAGAATACAACCGAACTTATTGGTTATGGCCCGCCACAACGCAGCCACGAATTTAAAGTCCATCTCAGTTGTGTACGATAGTGGGAGGAAAACAGACAGTCACTAGACCAATGTACTTCCTCCTATGGAGTAAGTGACACTAAACGGAGTCGGATACCTCGGTTTTATTACCGTTTACGGGCTCACACGGAGGGTTGTTGTATAAGCAAGGGGCCTCCTTATCAAAATTGTTTGCTCGATCATTCCGAACAATGGACATATATGTTAGTAGAATTTCAGAATCTGTTACCTCAGATCACAACCATGTTTCCGTAACAGCAATGAGGACTCAGAATGCAGAGGAATGTCCAGGTCTCAATTCAGGTAATTTGATAAGATGTGTATTTATGTACAACAAGGAGAGGTACTTGTAAACCAGAAAAGTGTTGGATATGGTGGATGAAGCGAATGAGTGTAGGCTAACCGATGAAGCATTAGTGCTAATCGTTTTTCTGGATCGGTTGCAGTCCATTGAAATGAAGTCCAAGTATTTTCTTTCATCAGATGCCTGGTGCTAGATCGCGTTTTTCTATGCCATTGCGGTGTTATGACGACTGGGGGAACCGCCACGGCATTGGATGTTACAGCTGGCATTTTTATTAAGATGGCCACCACAACAGGATTGCCGACAGACCATGGTTGTGCTCAGGCTACTTTAGAGAAATTTCGGTAATGGATATGCTACGGAACTGAGCCAACTTCTGTAGCATTGTTTATGCAGTTATTCCGTATTGTAACACCATTTTCAATAAACTGGAAGTTTACTCCTTGTAACTAGGTGACAGGTGGATCCTTGTAATCTAGCTAGTGACAACATTTTTTGAGGAAAGATCATATTGTTTCTGCGCCATTGCTCCCAGTTTTGTACTTGCGGATTGCCATGGGATAAAGCTATAAGCTCAAGAAGAAAGCCAACCATCAAGATTATAGATATCTTCATTTTTTGTTTTCCCTTTCGGTTAGTGGATCCGCTGAAAATACTTTCCATGGAATATCAAGTAGTATGTGCACGACACTTGTGGCGTTTCGGAGTTGATTCGCAGACAGCAGCACGGTCTCCGTTTTTTTCCACTGAGGACAGCGTAAACCTAAGTAGTCGGGCTTCAAAGTAGCGCAGGGAGTTTGGGTAAAGCGCGATGCGCATCAGTTTGATGGTATCAACATGGACACTGTAATATGGTTGTGCAAGCAAATTCCAAGCGCAATACAAGATAACAGAGCATTTGATTGGACAGCTACACATATTTTTATGCAGTGCATACTGACCACAAACCGCTCGTTCAAATAGCTGATAGACCGTTACACGGTGAAATCGACGTTTTTAACGTATGCTTATCCGGCTCCAAAATTACGACATGAACTTGTGTGCACTCCCAGGACGCAAATGTTCATCGCTGACGCTCTGTCGATAGCTCATCTTCTGATAGTCGAACACCAACAGGAAGAACCCAAAGCAGTCAAACTGGTAAAACATCTGGCCGTAAAAATAGATTTCTTGAAAAAGCTAATGTGTTATACGGCAGCAGAATCGACGTGCATGGCTTTTCCAGACGTCACTTTGTGGGGATAGCCAGATACAAAGGATAAACTACCGAAAAGATTATTACCGTTTTTCAACTTTCGGGATGAACTCATAGTGTATGACGGTTTGCTGTTTAAAGAGAATCGCATTTTGATCCCACAGCCGCCTCGCAAATAGAGGTAAGAAAAAGCTCATCGAGCCAACTTGGCTGTCAACTGCACTAATACTAGAGCACGCGAACCGAGGTTCCCGCGCGAAATGACAAGTCAAATCTGGAACATGCATTAAGCCGCTCAGACTGTCGCTCCGACGATGCTCAACAAGCCTGGCAACCGATGATGTTACGTGAGATTTCAGATCGACCATGGCAGAAAGTAACGATGGACTTGTTCCATGACAACGAGAAGGACAATATATTCACTGCTGACTATTACAGTGACTAGCTTGTGATCGACCCTCTCACCGTTAACAACACGGACACCATAAGCATGCAGCTTATATGTCAGTTTGCCAGATACGGAATACCGGAGGAACTGATCTCCGAAAATGGCCCGCGATTTACAAGCCCTAGGTTCTAGAACTTCCTGAACAAGTGGGAATTTCCGCATTGACAAACCACAGTCAAAGGGAGGAGCAGAGTCAGCGGTCAAACAAGTTAAGACGCTATTGTTGCAAGTCAGATCCATTGATGAGGACCCGTATCTAATGTTGTTGGAGATTACCAATACGCCATGAACGAACATCGGTCTCAGTTCTGTATAACGTTTATGCAGCCGAAGAACAGGAAACGTAATGCTAGCGACTGCTGAACTCTTAAATCCTGTCGCTCCATCGCGTGAGCAACTGTAAAGATGCTTATGAAAAAGGATGACCGATCAGAGAATGTAATTTGACCGCGGGACTCGGACGCCACCGCAGCTATCAGCAAAAATTAAGTGCGGATCCAAAATATATCGGATGTAAGCGAAAGATGAAAGAATGTTGCAGTGACGGCGAAGGTTGGATGAAGATTTTATGAAGTCTGTACCGGAGGGAAGGTTATTAGAAAAACAGAGTGCTGGTGTGGCGACACCCAGAAAACGAATTTGAGTCTGCGTCCTAACACTTGACGCCTTATGGAAAGGTCACAACAAAAGAGGTAACAATGTCGACGAAGAGCAGAGGACCGTAGGTAGCCTACTGCGACATCACTTCTGCTGATCCCGGAAAAGAGTAAGATGTGATAGGATTGTGCAAACAAGCAGCAAATGGGTCGCATGCGAGCAGCGCAGTTGATTGGACAG